CCTGCCAACCCAGGCCGAAATTCCAGAGAATTTAATTTGCTAGCACTGTATTTTACCCTGTAACGTTCTACGACACCCTAAAACCTGTACATGGGGGGTACTGTTTTACTCGGGAGACTTCGCTGAACACAAATATTAGTGATTCAAAACAGTAAAACATATCACAGCGATGATATTGTCAGTGAAAGTGACTTTTTTTGCATTTTTCACACACAAACAGCACTTTTACTGATGATATAATTGTTGTGATACGTTTTCCAGTTTTAAAACACTAATATTTGTGTTCAGCGATGTCTCCCGAGTAAAACAGTACCCCCCATGTACAGGTTTTATAGCATTTTTGAAAGTTACAAGGTCAAATATATGGGTCAAATATTTTTACATTGAAAATGGCCAGGTTGGTTACGTTGCCTTTGAGAGCGTATGGTAGCCCAGGAATGAGAATTACCCCCATGATGGCATACCATTTGCAAAAGAAGACAACCCAAGGTATTGCAAATGGGGTATGTCCAGTCTTTTTTAGTAACCACTTGGTCACAAACACTGGCCAAAATTAGCGTTCAATTTAGTTTTTTTACTTTTTTCACACACAAACAAATATGAATGCTTACTTTGGCCAGTGTTTTCGACTAAGTGGCTACTAAAAAAGACTGGACATACCCCATATTGAATACCCTGGGTTGTCTACTTTAAAAAAAATATGTACATGTGGGGTGTTATTCAGAGATTTATGACAGATAATAGTGTTACAATGTCACTATTGATAAATTTTAAAATGTATGTTTTGAAACCGCAATATCCTACTTGTACCTATAGCCCTATAACATGCAAAAAAAAGCAAAAAAGCACGTAAACACTAGGTATTTTTAAACTCAGGACAAAATTTTGAATCTATTTAGCAGTTTTTTTCATTCGCTTTTGTAGATGAGTAAAAGATTTTTCAAGTAAAAGTCAAAAAACATGTATTTTTTTCAATTTTTCATCAGATTTTTTATTTTTTTTAAATTAAAATACATGAGATTATATAAATAATGGTATGTAAAGAAAGCCCCTTTTGTCCTGAAAAAAACAATATATAATTTGTATGGGAACAGTAAATGAGAAAGCGGAAAATTACAGCCAAACACAAACACCACAAAAGTGTAAAAATATGCCTGGTCGCAAATGTACAACATCGCAAAAACAGTCCAGTCCTTAAGGGGTTAAAATCTTGATTTTTCTTATATGCTATTTGTGATTATTGCAGTTGTGTCTGTGGTTATTCTGAATGTAAATGAATTCATTATTTCAGTGCAGTGGATACTTTCAGAAATAAAACAACTGAACTGGAGGGACTGTTTGAAGAATTTAGATGGATGCTCAATATCACTGTATTAAGCAGAGGCTCAGACACTTGTAATGTGCAACATACTAAATGGGTTTATGATACTTATCCTAATCTTAATTCACTTATATGCCTCACATAACACCATACCTCGTTTTAATATCGTTTTTAATTTTTTTTTTTTAATAATGTTATGTTCTTTGCCTGTGCTTTTTTTTAAAGCCATTTTCTGTATATGCAGCTTTTAAGTGCTTTTATTTTTGCACAAACAGTTTGCTATTAATTACTGTACATGTTGTTACTGTAAAGCAAGGGTGCCCAAAAGGTAGGTCCCCAGATCCCTACAGCTTCCACGATGCTTTGCAATTCTAAAGGCATTTCCCAGGCATGCAAAGCAAATGCAAATCGTGGTAGTTGTAGTTCTACAACATTTGGGGATCTACCTTTTGGGCAATCCTCCTGTAAAGTTTGCCTCACCCCAGGGGTCTGCTAAGGGGGTGCATGGAATGCAGTGTATCTAGGCACCTCACCTTTGAAGGTGAATTTACGCTCGACAACTTGCTGTAATGTGAACAGACACTGTCCCTCACCTGCCTCATTTAGTCACATTCACCCTACCACACCCATACAGTCACATACACCTCCTAGTGACATTCACATTGCCACACCCATGCAGTCACATACACCCACCTAGTAACATTCACACTGCCACACCCATACAGTCACATACACCTACCTAGTTACATTCATACTGCAACACCCATACAGTCCCATACACCCACCTAGTCACATTCACCCTGCCACACCCATACACACCCAGATATATCTCTCCTCCCCGGACCACTCTCCTGCCGTCCTGCAACGTGTCACTGCTTGCCTTTCTTCCATCTCTGACTGAATGTTCTCCCGCTTTCTGAAACTCAATCTCTCTAAAACTGAGCTCCTTGTCTTTCCTCCTCCTAATACTGATCCTCCTCTTTCACTCTCCCTTCAAGTCAGTGGTATCCACATAAGTCAATCCTTGCAAGTGCGCTGTCTTGGCGTCATACTTGATTCTGGCCTCACCTTTGAGCCTCACATCTAGCATGTTACCAAATCCTGTAGATTCCAACTTAAAAACATAGCCCGCATCCACCCCTTTCTTACGCAAGATGCTACCAAGGAGCTTGTCCATGCTCTAGTAATTTCCTTTATGGATTATTGTAACCCTCTCCTAATTGGTCTTCCCAAAAGACGTATTGCACCGCTACAGTCTGTAATGAATGCCACCGCCAGACTCATTTTCCTATCTAGTCGGTTCTCTCACCTCACCCATCTGTCAGTCCTTACACACTGGCGGATCCAGAGCCTTATCTTGGGAGGGGCACTCATAGATTATTTGAAGAAACAATACATGCACAATAACCACTACAGCTCTCTGTAGTGGCTATGGTGTCAGGAGTGCCCTGGCGCCCTCCCAGAGTAAATAGTCAAACTTTTCACGAACAGTTTGACAATTTACCTGTGGTCTGCCAGGATAGGGGCTGTAGTAGGGGATAGGGCCTCTATTAATGTGTGTGTGTGTGTATGTGGGACTATGTGTGTATGGGAGTGCAGTGTGTATATGTGGGGTGCAGTGGGAGCACTGTGTGTGTATGGGACGAGTGTGTATATGAGGGTGTAGTGGGGGCAGTGTGTGTGTGAGAGTGCAGTTGGGGAAGTGTGTGTATAGGGGAGAAGTGTGTGTATGGGGAGAATTGTGTGAGGGTGCAGTGTTTGGGGGAGCACTGTGTGTATAGTGGAGCACTGTGTGTATAGGGGTGCAGTGTTTGTGTGGGGGGGAACTGTGTGCATGTGGGTGTAGTGTGTGTGGGGGGGAGAAGTGTGTGGGGGTGCAGTGTTTGTATGGGAGAGCAGTCTATTTGTATGGGGGAGAAGTGTGTGTGCGGGGGTGCAGTGTGTATAGGGAGAAGTGTGTGTATGGGGATACAGTGCGGGCAGTGTGTGTATGGAGGAGAAGTGGGTGTATGCGGGTGCAATGCGGGCAGTGTGTGTATGGAGGAGAAGTGGGTGTATGTGGGTGCAGTGTGTGTATGGTGGAGAAGTGTGTGTATGTGGGTGCAGTGGGGGCAATGTGTGTATGTCGGGGCAGTGTGTATATGGGGGGTTGTGGGGCTGTGTGTATATGGGGGCAGTGTGTATATGGTGGGGCAGTGTGTATATGGGGGATAGTGTGTATATGGGGAGCTGTGTGTATATTATGGGGGGCTGTTTGTATATGGGGGGCTGTGGGGGCAGTGAGTGTGTAGTCGAAGGAAGGGGCAGTTTTAAACATTTGTGTATTTATTTATTTTTTAATTAAAAAAATATTCTTTATATCCCACCTCCCTTCTTACCATTGCCTGGGAGGGGGGATATTATTTCCAATCCCTGGTGGTCCTCGTGGTGAATCCCTGGCGGTTCTAGTGGGGAGTGAACTCTAGCTTGCAGCTCTTCTGTATCCTATAGAATCAATTCAAGGTACTAATTCACACCTATAAAGCACTAAACAATTCTAGCCCCTCTTATATCTCCTCACAAATCGATAGGTATGTCCCTTCTCGGTCTCTCCGCTCTGCCCATGACCTTCTCCTGTCCGTTGTCCGCACCCGTACGGCCAAAACACACTTGCAGGACTTCTCGCGGGTGGCTCCCTTCCTATGGAATAGCCTGCCTACCGCCATCAGACTCTCCCCTAGTCTTGCATCTTTTAAGAAGTGCTTTAAAACCCATCGCTTTAGGAAAAGCTTATGGCCTCCCAGACTAACCTCTACCTCATACCTGTCTCTTGCTCTCTCCTAAAGGCAGCACTCTACTCTCTCCTCCAGCTCTGCTTCACTTCCACTTTATGTGATTGCTATTTCCTGGCATAATGTGTTTTATACCCCACCTCCTATAGACTGTAAGCTTGTTTTGAGCAGGTCCTCTTCAACTTATCGTTCCTGTAAGTTTTCTTGTAATTGTCCTATTTATAGTTAAATCCCCCCTCTCATAATATTGTAAAGCGCTATTGACGCTATATAAATAACTGCCACACCCATACAGTCACATACACCCATCTAATCACATTCACCCTACCACACCCTTACAGTCACACCCACCCCACTCCCTGAATTGCATATGTATGCCAACTCAGTCACATTCACTCACCCGCTCATATTCATCTCGTCACACACCCAGTCACATATCCACAAACAATCACGTCCTCCTCACCCGCTGAATTACATATTTACCAACCCAGCCTGTTCCCATAATGCAAAAATCTAAATAGTTCTATGAAAACAATATCCACATTGCACAGATTGCACCACAGATTCCTACAGAATGGATGCAAAGGCCCAGATATACACTGCATGATCGTGACACAGCAACCTTTCATTACAGAAACAATAAATATCTGTGTAATTACATCTCAGTAATCTATTTAGCATAAAATCTTGTTGTTCTATGAATATAAAATGGGTTGCAAATGAAAATGTACTATATTGGTTGCAATGCTTGGAAATTAGCTTTGGTTGTTATTATGAAAAGTAGGCAGCTGCATCTAATGATTTTTTGAAGTAATCTGAACCATCTGCCTTACTATACTAAACAGTTCACACTCTAATCCAGATTATGGCTGACAAACCATTTTTGGCGTATAGTTTTCAGTGACAGTGTGTCCTTGACCAGCTGATACCGCTTCACAGAGTTTCTCCTGGCCGGATTTTTCTGCCAGGTTGAATTTTGCTTTTATATACATTTATTTTGTTTGGTTTTATGTTTTGGAGATAGAGAGAACCATGTCTTTCCTGTTGAAAAGCATGGTGGGCAGTCAGTTGAAGAGTTTTGGTCTGGGAGGTTCGAGTGAAGAGAAGAAAGAGGAAAGCGAAGGTTCGGATCCAGCTGCTGCCCAAGGAATGAGTCGGGAGGAATATGAGGAGTATCAAAGACAGCTGGTTGAAGAGCAGTGAGTATTACTAATTAATTTACTTATTTTACCTGGTTATTTTATGTGAATGTTAAAAATGTGTTTTGAGGGACAAAATTAAACATTTATTTGGAAATGTAAATTTTGTTTTTTATTTAAGTGCCAGAGGATTGAGGGAAGTATTGATCACCCATCTGGCACACACAGGTGTAACCTCTTTCAGGACCAATGTCATGTCAGAGTTCTCATGAAAACAAGGGATTTACTTAACTTCTAAGACAAACAAAATTGCTTTAAAAATGGCTTACAAAAAACAAACAACCAAAATGTTTGTAATCTGGGTCTACAAAATTTCAAGGTGCCACGTACCTGTTTTTCTATATGAAGCACTATCCCTTGGCCTGGGTCGTAGATCCTGGCGTCCACTGTCTGAGCTATTGCCAGTATATCACAGAGAAGTAATATTGTGGGGAAAAGTCTCTTCAGAACCTATACCATATCAGAAAACCCAAAATAAAAAAATAAAAAGGGTCGAGAGAAAGGAGCAGATTAAAACCAGTAATGAAGAGAGAATAAAACATATGATTTGAGGTTATGGGTGACACGATGGGGTTCAATAAAACTATGGTTGAGAGTGGGATACAGGCCTAAGCATGGGGGGTGGGGGGGGTCAGGAAAAGATTTTTGGGGAAAGAAAGAAAGGCCAGGAGATTAGAGAAGCAAAGCTTGTATGGTGATGTGAATGTGCTTACCCTGGGTGTTTTATATAAAAATCCCAGAAATATATTTGTCTGTGACCTGAAACTGCTCTGGTAGTGACAGAGATCTAGATCTGTAACCACGTTTAGGGCATAACCATCACGTTTACAATTATACCTTTGAGAAAGAAATATGATGTGATAAACTAAACTTTCGATTCCTTATTAAGATTGATTGAAGAACATGGATTGGATATTTCATTATTAGTATTGTTGATATCCACACAGATAGACTTTACTCCAATGATCAAGCTATTTTGTTCATTAGGCATTGTTAGAGATCAACTTGTGAGATGTCCAGCTTGTTAAAATTTATTTCATGGAAAGAAAAGATATTACTTCATTGTTTGTTTGTTGTTCTTTTATTGATGTGGAATTATACATATTAGCAGATACTGATTTATTTACAAACTACTTGTTAGAAAAATGGAGACATCAATATGCAAGATTTTTATTTATTTTTTTAATTATTATTATTTATTGAAACATACCCTAATGTGGATTTGTAATATCCTTGGCATGGCTTAGTGTAGATAGTGACTGGGAAAATGCCACAAATAATATCTTCTAAAAAATGACACATAATTGAATTCCCTGTTCAGTGTCCTCAAAAACAATAAAAAGATCCAATTTATTTTTTATGCCAAACTTGAAATGTTTTCCCAAACGTTTCTTTGAATTGTAGCTCCCAATCCACAAGAAACTGTAAGAATGTACCCAGATGTTTAAGTAATTAGCCTCACTTACAATATGAAATGTACCTCTGAAGGATATAGCTGTAAATATATTTTCGCATGGGCGAAAGTCATTGAAATTCATCCAAAAAAACTCTCTGGCAAACCCGAATCGCTAGAAACTGTATCTTTGGGGACAAAATTTTCAATGTGCACAAGTGTAATGAAAAAGTCGGTTTTAGGTTATGAGAATATTTTTCTATTTATTGAAGTTCTTAATACAAACATTTTGGTCCACTTCTTGAATGTATAGGATTAACAGAACATGTGTCTTAGAATAGTCTTAAATCCAATGCTGTTATGTATATACTTTCTCCCGCCTCCAATCTACAGACATTGGTCACACTCTCTAGATCAATTTGCTCATATCTTTTGTCATTTAGATCAGTAACATATCCTTATAATCTCTTCTTTCCTGATCACTCTTCCAATGATCTATGCTTAATACTGCACGGAATATCCTGTGTCTCTGTGGTTATTCCTCCATAATCTCCTCTTACTCCCACATTCAGATAATATTCATTATGGCATTTAAAAAAATACCAGAGTTATGTTTTCACCCCTAATAAAATAAGTCCCATGATGCCAATGCTCCACATTCAATTTAATCACAAAGCATTTCACGCACTAGAAGGTCTCGCGATATGATACAATTCTTCAAAGCTTAAAAATTATCATCTTAACAGTCAAAATTGTGGAAAAGCCTCTTCAGGAGTTCCAACTTCTGATAATGGTGGCTCAATGCCCCTGATATCTATAAATATGAAAGTCACAGAACAAGGTATGGAGGAGAAAGAATACCCAGGAGATCTATCTTATTCCATTATCTATGCATTTAAAGTTCAGTCTATGAAAAGGCCTTTCTTAAGGTCTGTTATTGCCTGTTTTATGTGGTGGTCATTCTTTCATTAAAAAACTGTTCAAGTCTGTAAAGTAACACTTTAGCCATTCTGGAAAATCTTTACTTCCAGATTCATGGAGATCTGTCAGCCACATTGTGATGTGAGATACTATACCTTCTTTTGGCTGTTTTTTAAATAATCCACCCATATCTAGCTCATCTGACTTGGCTTTTAGTGATGTCCTGAACGGTTCGCCACGAACGGTTCGCCACGGACTCATCATTGAGTAAACTTTGACCCTGTACCTCACAGTCAGCAGACACATTCCAGCCAATCAGCAGCAGACCCTCCCTCCCAGACTCTCCCACCTCCTGGACAGCATCCATTTTGAAGCTGCATTCTTAGTGAACCGTTCGGGACATCACTATTGGCTTTATAAGACATGTCACCTAAAAATATCAAAACCTCATCATAAATATCCAGGATCCTATTGTTTCACGTCTAGCCTTTCACCCCATCATTGTACCTCCTACTTGGCTTTTTTACCCACCCATTCCAAGCTTGTGTTCTACAACATAAATACTTTTTGATCACGTGATATTGTCTAACATTGCAACCCTATCAGTTGCTTTTCTTCTCCTATTGCAACATTTTAGACAATCAAAATCTCATCAACCTTAACCACTTAGTGACTAGACTGTTTTTCAATATTCTTACTGTTGAGGACCAGGGCTCTTTTTAAATTTCTGTGGTGTGTGTGTTTAGCTGTAATTTTCGTCTTTTCCAGTCATTTACTGTACCCACACATATTATATACCGTTTTTCTCGCTATTAAATGGTCTTTCTAAAGATACCATTATTTTCATCATATCATATTGTGACGAAAGCACCTTCGTCACTGGGATTTGGAGAGGCCTACTTGCCAGCCTCTTGCACTGTGACAATGGCCCCTGGCATGTATTGCCCTTTAAAAGCTTTATTTGGGCATATTGGATTTTAAAACACTTTTTCTGCCCCTTTAAATCCATGTGAAAATGTGCCTCTTCCCCTCCCCCTATTTCCTGTCCTATTGTTTCTCCAGCAAGGCGTTGTCCCAGGGACACTACCAGACCAGTTTAATCTGGCTGCTTTGTCCCTCAGCCCTTGCTATTTTCTGAACCCTTCCTTGTACTATAGGGCACTTTTAACATTGGACATATTGAGCGCTCAGATTCAAGCTATCTGGGGACATGTTAGACATATAGGTTAAACATTGTATTATATGAGTTATGTATTTTTATGTAGTTTTTGTAACAGTTTCTGGACTTAGAGATATTTCCTGTATCTGGAGATAATTAAGTTACCACAGCCACTTAAGCCAATTATCTCCAGGATAGAGGAGAAGATAGACTGGCCGCACAGCCTAAATTTGTGGAACTGTTTTGGGCATGAAAGCCATGCTTGCGGTCGGTCAAATGTGACTTTCATAAAACTTTTTAACCCCTGCTCTGATATGGGTGATTTTTGGATATGTTGTTCACCCAGATCAGGGCTATCCAGTGATATAGGATTTATGGGGATATGTTGTTGTTTTGGGGTGTTTCTGGACTTTGGGTAAAAATTAATATTTTCTGCCTGTGGTAATTGAGTTAGTCCATTGTGTTTGGTAATTGTATCACAGGCAGAGGGGAGGGTTTGTGTACATTAGCTGGGAGTGTTTAACTGTACAATACTGTGTTGATTGGTTTGTGTCCTGTGCTCCACAAGGCAACCTTGTGGGGAAAATGTGTATAAAATAAATGACTTTGTGCTCATTAAACAGACTTATTCTACCTTTCATGAAGTTTCGGCTCATGTTTGGGGGATTGGAGAACTACCTACACTCTAGGGATTGCTATAATCACTATACTCCCCAGAGTAAGCTATTGTAAGAGCTTGTTCTTGTTCCTGTTCCTGCTCTCTAGATTTAGGAGAGGTCTGCCTACTGTAAGCTGGTCCCTGTTCTTGGGCCCAGAGTAGGAGGAAGACGGTGAGACCCCAACCAAGCTGCGCTGGTTCATGGGGTCTGCGGTGGTTATGGTGTCTAGTGGAGTGCCTGGAGCCCTCGGGAAGCACTAGGAGCATCCGTCAACAGAAGGTTCCCAGTTGGGGTGCCAGGCAATCCGTTACATATATAATTTACTATATTTTTTATATAAAATATGATGAAATTTTTTTTTTTTAAAACACACCTTTTCGAACTTTGACCCCCAAAATCTGTTACGCGTCTATAACCACCAAAAAACACCCATGCTAAATAGTTTCTAAATTTTGTCCTGAGTTTTGAAATGCCCAATGTTAACATGTTCTTAGTTTTTTTGGAAAGTTATAGGGCTATAAGTACAAGTAGCACTTTGCTATTGCCAAAGTTACATTGTAACACTGATATCTGTCACGAATCCCTGAATAACCCTTCATATGTATATATTTTTTTTAAAAGACAACCTAAGATATTAATCTTGGGGTATTTTGACTCTTTTCATGCAACCATTTTACCATCAATCTATGCGAAATTTAAAAAAAATAATAAGTGATTTTATTTTTACACACATAGCAATTTAAGAACACATATACTGAGAACTTTAAGGGTTACTGCCAAGGAACACCACAATATGTGCTCAGCAACATCTCCTGAGTACAGTGATACCACCTATGTATAGGTGTGTAGGGTTCTCTGGGGGCTAAAATACCTTTTTCGGAAGGTGCGCATTCCAGTTTTCCAACTTGGAATTTTCACAGCTGGTCATCATGTACCCATGTCTTATTTGGGACATTTTTGAAGCCGGCCAATGTAATTTACCCCCACCAAACCATATATTTTTGAAAAGTAGACAACCCAGGGAATTCAATTTGGGGTATGTCCAGTCTTTTTTACTAGCCACTTAGTCACAAACACTGGCCAAAGTTAGCATTTATATTTGTTTGTGTGTTAAAAATGCAAAAAACAATTATGAACGCTTACTTTGGCCAGTTAGACTGAACATACCCCATTTGCAATACCTTGGGTTGTCTTCTTTTGCAAATGGTATGCCACCATGGGGGTAATTCTCATTCCTGGGTTAACAAGCGCTCTCAAAGGTACATAAACAATCTGGCAGATTTCTATGTGAAAAAACGGCCTTATATTTGTCCCTGTAACTTTCAAAAACACTATACAACCTGTACATGTGGGGTACTGTTATACGGAAATATTAATGTTTCAAAACAGTAAAACGTATTACAACAATGATATCATCAGTGAAAATGACGTTGTGTGTGAAAAATGCAAAAAATTTACTTTCTCTGACAATATCATTGATGTGATATGTTTTACTATTTTGAAACACTAATACTTGTGTTCAGCGAAGTCTACTGAGTAAAACAGTACCCCCTATGTACAGGTTTTTTCTTGAAAAGTTACAATGTTAAATATAGTGCTAGCAAATTAAATTATCTGGACTTTCAGCTTGGGTTGTCAGGCAGGTTCCCCAAATTGCAATCAATAGAATTACTTAATTATGTAAAAATATTACATAAATATGCACGTAGAATTAAAAAATATATACATATTTATATATTTGAAGTCTAAGTGTATATTTATGAAATTATTTATGTGATTATGTATATGGACATATGTATATTTTGTATTATTTTTATATATACATAGATATATATACATGTATAGAGAAATTAATATCAAAATACAGTTAAAATAAAATTATATATATTTTTTTTTATTATTTTTACATTGGAACTAATGTAGAGAGTGCCCTGGTGCAAATATGTTTTCTTGGCCCCCCTCTAGTGCAAGTGTGGCCAAAAGGTAGATCTCCATCTGTCGGAGAACTTCAACAATGCTATACCAGATGGGGAGCTACCATTTTCTTATCATTGCAGGGTTATATTTGTGAGCAGTGTTTGAGCGTTTGAATGTAAGCATGTTTTTGTATTAAGTATATGTGTTCCAAAGATCATTGTGACAGTTTTGTCAGTGTTTAGGAAGAGGTTTTTTTTTTGCGATCCACTTTTCTACCTCTGTAAACTGGTCTTCGAGCACAGCCTCAAGCTGCGGTAGATTCAATTTGCTTGCATAGATTACTGTGTCGTCTGCGTACATTTGAGGATTTGCAGACATTAGGCAGATCATTTATAAATAATGTAAATAGCAGGGGGCCTTGGGGAACACCACACGTGACTGGGAGAGATAGGGAGTCGCTGTCAGAAATGGACACATATTGTGAGCGATCCGATGATCTAAACCAGGTTAGTGGACAATCACCAATACCTGAGTTTTTGAGTTTGTGCAGTAGAATGTCGTGGTCTACTGCATCAAAGGCCTTTGCAAAATCAAGAAAAATAGCTCCAGTTAGGTCTCCTTCTCCATGCCAGTTTGAGCTTAGCTCATAGAGTGAAACGTGTTTAGCTGAATTTTGGATTTTACATTTGGAATTTTTTTTTATTTTTTTTAAATTCTTTATTTTTCAAGTTTAGGTGAGGTAAAGGGTACAGAATAAAGATAGGGGTAGGGTAGCAGTGATATCCAATACTTTTGCAGTTTCGTGTCATTTCATTGGTATCAGTACGGTTTATTGCGAAACCTCCTGTCAGTCTTCTAGGTTGAGTAGTTCAGTTTTTGTATGTCTCAGGTAAAGGTTGATACTTGGTCATGGGTCTTGTCATCTTCGCCTCTGAGGGCGTGTTTGACTCTTCCTGTGTTGTGTCTGTCAGGTTTGTGTCTCTTTCGGTTGTATATGGGTCTGGGGTTTGGTCTGCTGTGTTTGTTTTGTGTGCGGGTGAGGTAATTGAGGGAGTTAGGTGGTCTCGACCCATGGGTGGTCGTCTCATTTAAGCTGTGGGTGTAGAGGCTTTCCAGTGTGGTGAAATTCGGGTCTATACTTAGTGCCTGAGGTTGTTCTCTATATTTATTTCTGCTACTCGTGTTCGTGGTGTACGAGGTGTGGTATTTTGTTTGTGTGCTGGGTGGGTTCCCTAGTCTTATGATTATGCTTTTATTTGTGTGGTTGGTGTGGGGGGGTATGTGTAGGGTTCAGGGGGTTAGGGGGAAATATGTGGGGTCCTAGTTTGCTATCAGTAGGGGGGTCTGTTTAGGGGGGGGGAATCGCGTCTTGTTCCCGGGTCCTCCGTTTATGCCAGTAGGTGGTGTTGGATCCATGGGTCCCATATCTTGTGAAAGTTTTGTGTTGTATCGTGTAGTAGGGCTGACAGTTTGTCCATTTCCATTGTTTCTTGTGTTTTGTTGATCATAGTGGTTAGTTGGGGTGTATTCTGATTGCCCCATTGTTCTGCTATCGTCCGTCTGCTGGCTAACGCTAGTCTGGCCACCAGTTTATTCTGCGCACTGGTGAGGGGGGGGTGAGGTTTAGAGAGCAGCCATATCCAGGGGTCTCTTGGTATGTCTGTTTCTAATATGTCGGACGCGTGCGTGACCACTCTTTCCCATATTTGTAAGACCTGGGGACATTCCCACCAGAGGTGGATGTATGTGCCCTTCTATGTGCAGGCTTTCCAGCATGTATCTGTGGCGGCGAGGCCCATTTGTTTCAGCCTGAGTGGCGTGAGGTACCATCTGAGTAGGGTTTTATAGGCTTGCTCTTCATGGTTAGCGCATATGGTAAGCGAAGCCGTGGCTTCCCATATGTCTGCCCAATCTGAGGGGTCTGCAGGGGGGCCTATATCTCTTTCCCAGGCCTTGGTGTAGATGAGGGCGTTGTCTGGGGAGTGTGAGTTTAAGAGTGAGTATTTTTTGTGATTTGTCCTTTCTGCATGGGTGCGTGGAGGCATGTTTTTTCGAATTGCGTTGGTTTGGTAGTTGCGGCTGCTCTATTTTGTGGTTCATTGAGAAAGCTACAAATCTGTATGTAGCGAAAGTGGTCGAATGTGGTCAGGGGTGTCTGTTTGGGGAGGTCCTGGAAGGGGCAGAGTTGTTGGTCTTGGAAAAAGTGGAGGAATCGGAACAGTCCGTTGTCCTCAAATCGTGAGAAGTCTTTGGGAGTTAGGCCTGGGGGAAATTGCTTATTTCTTAGAATAGGTGTGAGGGGTGATGGTGTGTTTATTATGGGATGTTTTGATGTGATGTCGTCCCATATGAGAAAAGATGTGGTTAGTGTAGGAGTAGTTTGTGGGGTGGGTGGTCTATCTTTCTTGGGTAGCCAAAAAAGCAGTGATGGGTGGTCTCGTCCCAGGAGGTCATGCTCTAGGTCTACCCAGAGTTTGAGTCCCGGTGGTGCGTGTAGCTGTTGTATTTGGGCCAATTGGGCCAATTGGGCCGCTTGGTAGTAGTGGTAGAAGTTCGGGAGACCCAGGCCTCCTGTTTTTGTGGTTTTGTACATTGTGGATCTTTTTATGCGCGGTCTCCTGTTTGACCATATAAATCTGTCTATATGTATTTGGAGTGTTTTAAAGTCGTGTTTGGAAATAGGTATTGGTAGTGTTTGGAAGAGATAGAGAAATCGGGGGAGGAGATTCATTTGTATTGAGGCTATGCGCCCTATCCATGATATGGACATAGGTCCCCATTTTTGCAGGTCCAGTTGTGCTTGGCGGGGAAGTGGTGTGTAGTTCAGGGCATATATTGTGTTCAGGTCTGCCGGAAGATTTGTTCCTAGGTAGCGTATATTGCTTAGGTTGTATTTAAATGGGTGGGATAGTTGTAGTTGTTCCAGAGTGTATTGTGGTATTGCTATTGGGAGGGCCTCTGTTTTCTTTAGGTTGAGTTTATATCCCGAGAGGGTTGCGTATTGTTGGAGAAGTGTTAGTAGGGGTGGTAAAGAGTGGGTGGGGTCCGAAAGTGTGAGGAGGATGTCGTCAGCATAGGCCGCTATTTTGTATTCTTGACCTTATCTTAATGCCCTGTATCGTCTGTTCGTTTCATATGTTTTGAAGGAGAGGTTCAAGCGAGAGGGCGAATAAGAGTGGGGAGAGTGGGCAGCCTTGTCTTGTCCCGTTTTTTATTACAAATTCTGGGTATTTGGTGTTGGGGATGAGAAGTGAGGCCATGGGTTGGTCATAGAGGGCTCTTAGGGCGTCTAGGAAGGGAGTCGGGAATTTGAATTTCTGGAGGGTGGCAAACAGGAATGGCCAGAGTAATCAGTCGAATGCTTTTTCGGCATCCATTGATAGGAGGAGGGTTGGGGTCTGTCTTCTGCGTGCCACGCAAATAAGGTCGAGTGCTCGTCTCGTGTTGTCTGCTGCCTGTCTTGTGGGGATGAAGCCCACCTGGTCAGGGTGTATTAATTTCGGTAGGAGTAGTTGGATCCGGTTGGCTAGGGTTTTAGTGATTATTTTGGTGTCTACATTAAGTAGAGAGATGGGTCTAAAGTGGCCTGGGTCTAGGTGCGTTTTGTCCGGTTTTGGGATGAGGCAGATGTTTGTTCTGAGCATTTCCTTTGGGAGTGGGTTTCCTTGGAGGAGTGAGTTCCCTAGTGCTGTGAGGTATGGTATTAGTGTGGTATTGCGTATGTCTTATAGTAGAGGCTTGTGAATCCATCTGGTCCTGGGCTTTTGTTGGGTTTAATAGTTTTTAGTGTGTTTGCTATTTCCTCTGTTGTGATAGGGGCAGATAATTTTTCTATCGCCGTGTTCGTTAGTGATGGGAGAGGGGTGTTCCGGAGGTATGTCTCGATGTCGTGTGTTAGGGTTGGCGATGGATCAGGATTGTGATTATAAAGTGTTGTGAAGTATTGGGAGAAAATCCTCGCTATGCGATCCGGACTTTCGTGTGTGTTTCCTCCCGGGGAGTTTATTTTGGTGATGCGTTTATTGTGTGTTTTTTGGCGTAGTTTGCGGGCTAAGAGGGTGTCTGCCTTATTTGATTTCTCGTAGAAGAGCTGTTTGCTCCATTGGAGGGCTCTTTGTGAGTCTTTGGCCATGTAGGATTTAATGGCTTGTTGGTGAGTTTTGATCTGTGTTAAAATTGGTGGGGTTGGGTTTTGTTTGTGTTGAGTCTCTAGGGTCCTTAGCGAGAGGAGGTGGTCTTTCAGTTCCTTTAATTTTTGTTTTTTGTGTTTCGTGGCTTCAGCTATCAATTTCCCTTTTATGGTCGCTTTGTGAGCTACCCATAATGTGCCTGTAGATTCTACTGAGTCCTTGTTTAATTGGAAGTACTCTGTGAGCGTCGTTTGAATGGATGCCCTTATTTCGGGGGTATGTAAGAGTGTTGGGTTTAGTCGCCATGACCATGTTCTAGCTGTTTGTGGGATTGAGAGTGTTAGGGATATCTCTGCGTGGTCGGACCACGTGATCGTACCTATAGTTGTTGTAATGTCTTGGGTTAGGAGGGAAGGGGATATCAGGAACATATCAATCCTAGAGTAGAAGAGATGAGGGTGGGAGTAAAAAGTGAAGTCAAGGATTGTGGGGTTTTGCATTCTCCATGTCTTGGAGACCTGAGTGGAGTACAAAGTTCGAGAGTAGTTTGTCTATTCTGGCCACTGGGGCTGTTTTGCCAGTGCATGTGGTTTGTCGTTGTCGGTCTGTTTGGGGGTTGATGACCGCGTTAAAGTCTCCCCCTGTGATCACGTGGTGGGAGGGGAACAGTTGAGGTGGGCTTGGATGGCTGTCCAGAAGGATGGGTCTGGGTTGTTGGGGGCATATATCGTGGTGATCGTGTATTTGTGAGTGCCTTGCTGTCTTGTTATAGTGAGGAATCTACCTTGAGGGTCAGCTGTGGCATGTGTTCTGGACGAGTATCGCTACTCCGTTATGTTTTGGAAATATTTTATTCAGACTTTTTTTATTTTATAGAAGAAGTACTAATTCTGTTTTAATTTATCACTAATAAATTATTTTTAATATTTTACACTTATTAGTCCTACAAGTACTTTCTAGCCATCAGGAACCACATTTGGGGAGTGCTATCCCAATAAAAGCAGCACACTGTCAATCAACCTCAGAGCCAGGAATCCAGGGCTCTGTTAAAGGTGAGCATAACCATTACCACCAATACTATATTTACGTCTTCATACAGTACTACTCAGCTGGTTTGTCTCTTTCTTGTTCTATATTCCTGGAGGAATATCATTCGGGACAAGGGGTGTGTTGCTGCCCAAAAAGCAAAAAGGATTTATTTACGGAGCCAATACCATATAGGCTCCAGTCCATGTGAGTGGTTTAATCATTTTCTACTATCACTCATTTCCATTTGAAAACCATCTGCACTATATATTGTTTTCCTTTTATTTCCCTTTGTATGCATACTCAAGTGTATACTTCCAGGTTGTTACTGTATTGAAGGCGTGAGTGTACCCCTTTATTATCCATATTGTAATAGCGCTCCACTTGTTAGTATATAGCCTATACCATTTTCTTTTATATCTGTATTGTATTGTGGATAAAGGGTATTCCACTTTTTGTGTTGAGCTGCTTCCACTGCTTAGGCACTTTAGAGTATCACTCACTATCCCTGGTAAGAGATAGCTGTTTCTTGCATTCAATTTTTATTGTAGCTCAACCTCCATAAATAAAGCGAACACCCTTACCCACATGCTACCACCATGCTACCATCTACTTAAGCATTGACGTAAGCAATGCTTACCCCTTACCACCTCCCCTTCAGAGCGGCACTCCACCACACACACGAAGACCACTAGTCCTTATAAATCTTTATCGGACCTAAGCCAACTATGACTCATGTGTACAACATACATATCTCATAAGCCGTGCTGTTCATCTACACGTCATAATGTTTTATCCATGCATCTGTACTGAGAGTTCCACCAATGACATTGTTTGTCAATTCTTCTTTTCTCCGCACAAAAACATAAAGAGTTTAAATTAACTATTAACGCCATGCTGAAAACAAGGTAGATATGCCAGCCTAACAGATGTTAACATAGCCTTACATTCTCCTTAACAAAAAATGTGCAGCTCGCTCAGTGCCCAGTACAATCTATTGATGTTATATAAATGCGTGCTGTTGTGGCACATTGTATATGCTTGTTATTCTTTTGCACAAGAAAAATAAAGAATTTTTTTTTTAAAACAACCACCACCACCTTATGGGGCCACACATTACTTCTTCATGGTGGATATTAGGTATAATGAAGAAATAGAAACAATGGCTGACTAATAGACTACTAACTGTGTATGTCAGGTAACACTGATGAAGACACATTTTAGTCCAAGCTTAGTTCAACTCTTGTGTCTGTTACTAATTTACATTGCTATTTCCCAGTATTCCTTTATTAAAATGGTTCCAAATAGGAAAACCTCCCAGCTATTACAGAATGTCATCTCCCATGATGCTTTGCCAGTTGTAAGGCTGCATGCCTCCCAAGTGTCCCTATTTAGGAGGGACAGTCCATATTTTGGGACCAATCGCTCTGTCCTTCTTTTCTACCCTAGTGTCACTCCATATTGTTGTTGTGTCTGAGTGTATACCATTGTTTCATCACAATAAAACTCCCAGCAATGTGTCTTTAAACTACAATAAACATGTTAAAATACATTATTTTTGTTCTTCATAGCATTTTAAGTGCGTACATTGTAGTTAGTAAGTTACCTACAATTTCCCAACATTTCAAATGGCAAAATTATAGACACCTCAAAAGTTAGTGTTTGGATATTTCCATTTGAAATGTTTGGTGGTGCGAGGCTGGCAAAACATAATAGAGGACTTGAGATAGAACAAGGAATACCTCTTGGTTTTATTGTTATACAAGTCCACATTTTTGCCACATGCTTGTATGCAGCAAGATTCCATTAGTCCTTAGATTAGTAAAAATAAGTGTTTTGTTACATTTGCAAAAACACACAAACTTTTCAAGATTATTTACTAACTCTCAACGGTAGCAATTAAAAGTTTGAATGGCTAAACTGAGACTAAAATAGCCACGCTGTGACTATAGCAGAGTTGGAGAGATTTTTCAGATGCCCTCAATTTGGAGTTTGGTAAATACCCTGCAAATGTTTCACAATTGTTTGTTTGAATTAATGTGATTGAAATTAGTGTTTGCAGTTTTTTTGTTTTTTTTTGCACTTTTCTTTCTTTCTAATTATTAAAAACAAATATAAAAGACAAAAAACATTTCGGATTGCCATCTCCTGGTAATGCTGAGCTGTGGCTTGAACACAACGTAAAAAGGTTGTCTAGGAATTAAATGTAAAGAACGGTGTCCTTGAGTGAGCCACTGACTCCCTCTTGCCATATGTTGCTTAATGATCCCAGAAATACATTTTACATGCATCTCCCTTTAAACTACTGTGACAATAAACACTTTGATGGAAACCTGTCACACGCTTCATTTATTCTATTTTTTTCCTTTTAAACTTTTTTCTTTACACAAGAAACCACTGTCGCGGTGATTTTTTGTGATGAAATAGGCAAACGGAGTAATTAAAACCAAAAACAAAACCCTAATTATCTGGGACACATTTTCCAGTAGACTGGCTATCTTGAGAATTGTACTTCAGTTAATCGTCAGATCTACATGACCCCGATTTAAAACAACCGTGAACTGCTTATAGTCAAGAGAGCTGAATGCAACTAATAGCGTTTTTGTTTGTGTGTTTGTTTGGCTTTTGCTTGAACTTCGTTTAAAGAGGAAGTTCCTCTTTAACCCCTTAAGGACACATGACACGTGTGACATGTCATGATTTCCTTTTATTCCAGAAGTTTGGTCCTTAAGGGGTTGAGGGAATTTATAATTTCCTATTTCTTCTGTTAAATAAAAGGGGCGTGTGTCTGTGGTAGAACTGAAGGAGCGCTTAATAAATTGCATATTACGCATCCCAATTTCCAATTATATATATTTTCTATTGGTCTAAAGTTATAAAAGACTTACCTGCACACTACCCCCAAACCCTGTATCTATTTAAATATTGGAATGTGGGAACGTGCACATGTAACTTCTTGTTTATATATTTAGGCTGATGAATACTATAGCCAATATTACTGCCCAAACGTGATAGGAGCTGAAGTGCATGGGGGCTAATGACTTTTTATATAATGTTGTAAAACCTATTTCTGCTTTGGTTTCCAGGATGGAGCGTGATGCAAAGTTTGCTCAAAAGAAAGCAGAGAGAGCAACTCTGAGAGTGCATTTAAGGGAGAAATATAAACTTCCACAGGTAAAAACAACAACAAAAATTTTTTTGCATTCTCCATTCACTTTTTGTTTCTTTCATCTCCCATGCACTAATTGAATAAATCTTTAAACATATGTTAAAGGAACACTAAACATGTATTCCTGACCCTATTGTGTTAATACGACCATTTAGGTGGCTTGCCCCCCTTAACCCCTTAAGGACACATGACATGTGTGACATGTCATGATTCCCTTTTATTCCAGAAGTTTGGTCCTTAAGGAGTTAAGGGGTTAAAAGGTAAGAAAACTTACCTTATTTCCAGTCTGCCGGCACTGGCACCACCCCCGATCTGCCTCCTTGGCTGACATAATCTGAATTGATGATCTCAACCAATCCAATGCTTTCCCATTGAAAGCATTTGATTGTCTGAGATTGTCAAGGGGGTGGAGTAGGGATGGGGCCAAATGCTGGCTTAGCCAATCAGCATCTCCTCATAGTGACGCATTGACTCAAGGCATCTCTATGGGGAAGTTCAAATGCATCTCTATGGGGAAACTCCAGTGTCTACATGCAGAGGGTAGAGATACTGAATATCAGTGTTGCACACTGTACAGCACTGCCCTGGAAGCACCTCAACATGCCATCTAAGGATTGGCCACTGGAGGTGTCCCTAGGGAGCAATGTAAACACATAATGCATAAACGAATATTCCCTTCTCACCTGGGACATAAACGAATATTCCTTTCTCCCACATCATACAAGGTGATATTAACATTTACATTGTTAAAGCGCTACATTCTTTATTTCAATGTAAACACTGCCTTTTCTCTGAAATGGCAGTGTTTACAGCAAAAATGCTGCAGGGACTAACTATACACACCAGAACAACTACATTGAGCTGTAGTTGTTCTGGTGACTTTAGTGTCCCTTTAAATCTTATTAGTGTTTCTTATTTAACTTAAAAGAAAGTAGAGAACTGAAATAAATGTTCTTCAAAGTTCTTCTAATTTTTTAATGAACTTTCCTTTAAAATTGTTGTTTTTAAAAGGGTGTATCTATTGAGGAATTTACTAAATATTATTATAAAAAAATGAATGACATTGCATCTATTGTGAACGTTCCATTTTTACATTCTCCAAAATATTAACAGCTATATTACCAGAATGACTTCTTTGAAATGTATTTAACAAGTGGGTTGACAAAAGTTAAAAAAATAATAATAATAAATAAATTGCAACATTTAGGTCAAAATAGCCGAACCAGCATTTTAGTCAAATAAGTGATATTTTTTTCCCACCAACCCGAAATCTAAAAATCTAAAATATTTCACCCCCAAAAAAGTAAAAAGGCACAAAACTGTCAGCAAACAAACTTCCAAAGTGTCAGCTGGATGTAGTCTGCAGAATCTAAATAAAGTGTCTTAATAAGAAGGGGTGAAGTTTGCGGTGGGTACAATGGTGGGTTGTATGCATCAAATTTTGTATTGGGCTGAACCCCTAGAAGCCCTTGAAATTAGCAATGTTCTATGGTAGAAGCAGTGGAAATGGAGGGGTCCTCATAATTCCAAGTAAGGACGTGCCCTTTATACCGATTACTTATCCAGTAAATGTTGCTCAATATGAACTGGCTACATACTGTTTTAAGATTCTCTGTTTTACCCTTATTCCATTGCAGAACATTAGTATTACCGTGACTTGAGATGTTATTATGCTGATTAAATGACCCCGTCACTTCCTCTTCTGTTTTGACATCTCCATCCTCAATCTGAGTTAAAGGACCACTATAGGCACCCAGACCACTTCAACTTAATGAAGTGGTCTGGGTGCCAGGCCCAGCTAGGTTTAACCCTTTTTTCTATAAACATAGCAGTTTCAGAGAAACTGCTATGTTTATAATAGGGTTAATCCAGCCTCTAGTGGCTGTCTCATTGACACCCGCTAGAGGGCTTCCGCGCTTCTCACTGTGATTTTCACAGTGAGAAGACGCCAGCGTCCATAGGAAAGCATTAAGAATGCTTTCCTATGGACTGGCTGAATGCGCGCGCGGCTCCTGCCGCACATGCGCATTCAGCCGAGGAGGAGGAGAGTCCCCTGTCCGGCGCTGGAGAAAGAGGTAAGTTTAACCCCTTCCTCCACCCAGAGCCCCTTCCTCCACCCAGAGCCCGGCGGGAGGGGGTCCCTATAAACGAGTATGTTTTCCTAGCACTATAGTGGTCCTTTAAATGATATGTTGCTGTGCTAATATGAGGTGTTAAACCATAGGATTTCAATGTGCATTGTGCTGATTCAGAAGGCACAGCAATGTGGGAGTGCTTTGCTCTTACGTAATCCATATATGTATCATAAGGCTTGTCCTTCATTTAAGTGTGTCTACTCTAGAGGTATAAAGAAGATATTTATCTGCAGTAGAATGTATCTAACACAAATCCTGAAGTTAAAAAGAGATCTGTAACAATTTACAAAACCAAATTGCAATTAGAGCACTTAGGACAGCGTAGTATAGTTGACTCCATTTAACAAAGTATACATTTTTTGTGGAGGGCAAGTTTATCAGGTTACCTCTGATCCTGTCTCAGACATCCACCACTATCCAAGGTCCTCGCACGCATCTGTGCCACCTTTATATGTCCATGCTGTGAGTACACAAAAGTTGGACCCATCTCACTTTATCATGTTTTCTATAATGATTCAGCTATTGCCAAGTCCATACATATTTATGCCAGTGAAACAATCACAGCTTGCTTGATCATGCTTTCTTCTGCTGTGATTACGGTTGTGGTGTGTTCTCATATCCCTGATCATGACTTTCTAAATTATTCTCCTGTGCTCTGCTGGGGCTTTTCCATGTTTGTCACTATGCTAACCAATTGTTACTTTCATTTTGACCTGTCCATAGCCTTGCTCAGTTTCACTTGTCAGAACGTGTATTTTTCTCCTTTAGAGATACATTTCATGACATAAAGAATGCTAAAGTCCGGTAATAATCATTGTTGATCCCCTTACACTTTAGTTCAATATTCATTTATTTGCATACCCTCTATTTCACATAGTTCCTACACTGGCATAGGAACCATAAACAAAATGACAGAAAAGAGGGAATGATTCCATTTTAAAAGAACATTGACCAGCTGAATGATTGATGGGACAGTAGATGGGTGATGGTGAATGTCACTGTCCTCATCCAGAGAAGAGGATTTTCACCCAAGTCCCAGGAATGATCTCTCAGACTTAAAACCTAAAAGTAGAATGTGGAGAGAATGCAAATATGATTTTATGATAAAATCATTAGTTTTTTTTCACCCTTTTTTTCTTTTTCAACATATTCAGAGTTTGTCCATCAAATTACATGGAAACTCTAACATTCAAATAAACATATTTAAAAAGTTTGAGCTTGCTACATATGACATTCAATTATTGCCCCCAAACCCTCCCCCCCCAAAGAACTTAATGACACTATAGTCACCCCAACCCCCTTCATCTCAATTAAGTGGATTTGGTGCAGTGGTTCTGTCTAGTTAAAGGACCACTATAGTGCCAGGAAAACATACTCGTTTTCCTGGCACTATAGTGCCCTGAGGGTGCCCCCACCCTCAGGGCCCCCCTCCCGCCCGGCTCTGGAAAGGGGAAAGGGGTTAAAACGTACCTTTTTCCAGCGCTGGGAGGAGAGCTCTCCTCCTCTGATCCTCCTTCTCTCCTCCCCGTCGGCTGAATGCGCACGCGCGGCAAGAGCTGCGCGCGCATTCAGCCGGTCACATAGGAAAGCATTCATAATGCTTTCCTATGAACGCTGGCGTGCTCTCACTGTGAAAATCACAGTGAGAAGCACGCAAGCGCCTCTAGCGGCTGTCAATGAGACAGCCGCTAGAGGAAATAGGGGAAGGCTTAACCCATTCATAAACATAGCGGTTTCTCTGAAACTGCTATGTTTATGAAAAAATGGGTTAACCCTAGCTGGACCAGGCACCCAGACCACTTCATTAAGCTGAAGTGGTCTGGGTGCCTAGAGTGGTCCTTTAACCAATGGTCCTGTCATGTTAACAAATTTAAACCTCTTTAGTTTAGAAAAAAGTCACCTGAGAGGGGATATGATAACATTATACAAATATATCTGGGGCCAATACAAACCATTGTCTGGAAATCTATTCACAAACCGGACTTTACATAGGACACGAGGTCATGCATTTAGACTGTAAGAAAGAAGATTTCGTCTAAGGCAAAGAAAAGTTTTTTTTACTTTAAGAACAATAAGGATGTGAAATTCTCTGCCTGAAGAAGTGGTTTTATCTGAGTCCATACAGATGCTCAAACATCAACTAGAAGCTACTTGCAAAAACAGAATATTCAAGGTTATAATTTTTCAATGTAGGGTAATAACTTCTTGATCAAAGGATAAATTTGACTGCCATTCTGGGGTCAAGAAGGAATTTTTTTCCCCTAGTTTGTTGCAAAATTGGAAGTGTGTCAAACTGTTTTTTTTCTGCCTTCTTTTGGATCAACAGCAAAAAACAAATGTGACGAAGGCTGAACTTGATGGACGCAAGTCTCTTTTCAGCTATGTAACTATGTAATTCAAGGTAAAACATTGCCGTTTTGCTGTTACACTGACGGCTACTATAGGGGCTTCCACTGCACTGACAATGTAAATCTCAGTTATGTGACATTGCCGCCCCTATAGGAAACCAGTAATTCATTGCTTTTCTATGTGGAAGAATTGATGCACGTACGACATGGACATTAGCTCCCTAATGCTCCTCTACGAGAAGCATTGGATTGGATGATCACAAAGTAGGCCATGTCTCATCCATAATGTTATGAGAGGTGGAGTGATAAGAAGCAACGAAGAGCCTCAGAGCTGCAAAAAAAAAATATAAACTCACCTTTTGTACAGACACATATCTGAGATCATCCTGACAGAGGGTCTCTGACTGATCTAATGTTTCTGCACCAAGCAGTATTCCAGCCCTAATGTACATGCACAGCAATCACCTCACTAGCCTGCAATATTCTCCTCATAGCCTTCACATAGTTGACATCATTGTGCTGTATCCTTGGCAACAATCAGATCTGCCAGGTGTTTTACTATAACCTGGCTCAGGTAGCACTATAGAATGTTCAGGTGGTGTGGGCAGCCAAAGCCTGTCGAAGTAATATTATGAACTCTGCTTGGAATGGTTAAGAACTGGGTTTACACAAAGATTTTGGCCACAGGCTTGGACTTCACAATAAAATGACATAGCTTGCATAGTTTTTGCATTAGGCAGAGAATTAAGGCACAAAATAAATTTTATGGTTTATGGTTTGTGTGTGAAAATTGGCTGGGGAGGTCTGACATGACGGCTCTGGGAAGCAGTGTTCCTGCGAACACTAATTGGACAATATAAAGGGGTGAGTCACAATCTTTGGATGAGATAATGAAGGATTAACAGTTCCAATTCAGCGCAGGATGTTTTTCGTATTTGTAAAAAAAAAAACACTGCTTCCAAGGAAAGTCTCACCGGAGTCTCACAAAAAAACCAAACTAATTTGGCAAAGATTTTAGAGCACGTTCTTGTAAGTCACTTTAAGTTTTTCGAATCGGACTTGCCAGTTTGCTACTAAGTCTCCTTAAATATTCCCACTCCTTAAATATTCCCAGCCTCATGTAAAACTCTTTTGATAGCATTTTTCCCATTTACCGACCAATATGTGCTTGGGTTAATGGGGAGGTTGGCCTGGTTAATCTTTTCTGAGTGATTTATTCTGTCTGTTCCTGGGTAGAACTCAGTCTACATTTAGGGATTTGCTTGGAAGGAGTAAGAATTGAACGATTTTGATTTTCTTCACGCTGGACTTAATGAAGATCTGTTGTATTTGAAGAAATCTGTATACAGAACTGACCAGAAGCTGCAAGCTAAGCTATATTGGTTTACTGCATCTCAACAAAGTTATAGAAAATATAGAATAAAATGACTATCTTTATGTTCCAAAAATTCCATGCAGGCTAGAGAATAGACTAAGTGTATCGTTCTAAAGAAAAAAATTTATGATTTCAGAATGCTCAAAGCCAAAAGTTAAAGAATCTTCATGAATCTTTATGAGTTTTTTTCATAATATGTAGAACTGGTGGCAAGTATGTTACTGACCACTAATTTAATATATTGGTAAATGTGTTCAAAATCTGGCTATTTCATATTGGGAATCATGACAGGTTAACTCGTGATTAGTGATGCTGCCACTAAATTGGATTTCCCATGAACATCACACTTACTTGTGTGTGACCATGTTCTACTACCTATAGACTGTAACAGGGCCGTCTTTAATATCGATTGGACCTTGGGCAAAGCATTTGCTTGGGCCCCCCGGGATCCTGTCCCCACTCCCCAGGCGTGCAATCACGTCCTCAACCCCAACGCAGTGGCGGACCTAAAGTAGAAAGGTGCAAGAATTTTTTTGGGCCTCCCTCTCGCACGGGTGATTAAAAGGTAAATGTCCATTTGTCGTGCAACTCCAGAAATGCATTGACAGCTGGGGCTATACCATATACCCATGTTTGCAGGTTTGTATTTAGCACTAAGCAGTTTTTGTGTGTTTGAATGTTTTTGTATGGAGTATGTTTGTATGTGGTGTTGGCGTGACTGCAAGCATGTATTTATGTGTAGTGTGGTTTTTTTGATTGCAGGGATGTATTTACATATAATTTTGTTGTTTAAAAGACATGTGTTTGTACGTAGTGTTGAAGTTTGAATGCAGGGGTGTATTTGTGTGTAGTGTTAGTGTGTGAATGCTGAGATGTATGCACATATACACACACACAGATATACATACTGACACACATGTAGATATACAGACACATATACACGCTGGCACACAGATACACAACCTGACAAATATGCAGACACACACATAGATACACCAAAACACACAAAGACAACATACAGATACACACACAGACTTCATACAGATACACACACATATATACACACTAACACTAACAGATATACTGGCACATATAGAGACAGACAAACTGACATACACACGCACACAGACATACTGACGCACACTGACAGACATACTGACACACAGACTGACAGACATACTGACACACACACATACTGACAGACATACTGACACACACACACACACTGACAGACATATTGACACACACACTGTCATACTGATTCACATAGACATACTGATACACACACACAGGCTTACTGACACACACACACACAGATATACTGACACAGACATACTAAAACACACATACTAAAACACACATACTGACAGACATACTGACACACACACACACACACACACAGATATACTGACACACACACACTGACAGACATACCAACACACACACACATACACATAAACACACACACACAAAAAAAGTTTACACTTTTAAACCCACCCTTCAGTTTCCTATCTTGGAGGCTGGCTTACCTGCTGGTGGCTGAAGGTGTTGGGAGTTGGGGTCTGGCTCTCTCGGCCAGCCCTCCTCACCTCTGCCTACTATTCTCTCCATTGTGTGCTCCTCTCTTTGTGGGAGGTAGTGACACGCGGCCGTCACTTGCTCCCAGCCGGCTGCTGAAAAGTACGGTGCCCTTGCTGACAGAAGCCCACCAGGTGGCCCTTAGTGAATGGGCCACCCGGTGGGCCTCCTTAGTGTGCGGGTTACCGGCCGGGGGGGGGGAGTAATGGTTGAGGCCAGCAGGGCCCACGGTGCAGCTGCTTTGGGCCCCCCAGGAGTAACTGGACCTGGGGCAGCTGCCCCGTTTGCCCCGCGTTAAAGACAGCCCTGGACTGTAAGCTCATTTGATCATGGTACTCTTTAACCTATTGTTCCTGTAAGTTTTTTGTAATTGTCCTTGTTATAGTTAAATCCCCCCTCTTATAATATTGAAAAGCCCTACGGAATCGGTTGGCTCTATATAAATGGCAGTAATAATAATAATAATAATACTACATGACTCTTTTGGCTGCTAACAGCAGATTAATGTATGAATAATGCTGTTGGCAACAAGCTGGTCTTTTAATGAATTTGCTTGGGACTTGTTAAAGTACATTATTCTAAAGTATTTATAGGGTCAAATCCTAAAAATTAAACCAGGCTTTTGACAGTATGGATTTAAAGGATTACTCCACGCACCATGAACACTTACTGAAACTCTGCACATACTGAGATAAGTAACAAATTCGTGGTTACCACACCACAAATCAGAGTGGTACGTTCTGGTGGTCACCACAATTTGTTACTTTTAGACACATGATTTTAGTGTGGTAGGTTAGGAGAAACCCACAACTGATTAGACATTGGGGATCACTGTATAAACAAGAGCTGACCTGTGCCTGGGTCCCCATGGAGCCATGGCCCCAGGTGGCAATTTGACTGGGGCAGCATTTTGGCGTTGCTGACTGGGCTTCCCCTCTCTACCCGCTCTCTGCCAGCAACTTGTGCAGCAGGGCATCAGGGGATGGTGGCTTGCGGTCAGGAAAATTTTGGTGCAGCTTGGGCCCATCAGGAGGTCTTGACCCTCACACTTTAGGCCCTCCAATGGGCAAAATCTCTGCAAGGCCGAGCAGAATACTGCAGCACTTTATCTGCACATCGGACTGGGCCCCTTTCACCTTTGCAGTTCCCCTACACGATGGCTGAATTGGGAGGAAGTGATCACACTTCACTTCCTCCCATTGCACAGAGAACCGTAAGTGGAAGCAAACGCAGGACCGATGCACGGGAGTCCCTACCCTGGCAACCCACTCCTTTTCATCCTTGGATCCAGGTAACACAATGTCTTGGGCAGGCCCTGGTATAAAAATATAATTGCATGCCAAATAAGTGCCAAATTCATGGATTCTATCTTAAGTGTTTGAGATATTTGATGGTACTACTGGAGATGTAACTCTACCTCTGGCAGCATCATCCGCCTTGTTCTAGACTGGCAAATGTCAATTCTGTGTACATTCTTTGCCATTTACTGACGCTCTCAGTCATTGAATGGCCATCAGGATCTACATTAGGCTTCTGCAGCTCTGTCGATCTCTAAATACCTCTGAAACTTGACTCAAATGTGACATAGTAAATGTATGTGTTCTTCGAATCACAAATTATCCCATTTATTAACAAATATAATCATATTTTATAGTAATTCATCTTGTCATGTACACACATACACCATGTCTGAAATTACTCTGTCTTTGACATATTGGGGTAAATAATTAAATTTACTTGATTGGCTATTAATTTAGAATATTCTTTTTTTTCAGAGTGAAAGGGATGAAAATCAGATACAGATGGCAGGCGATGACGTGGACTTACCAGAGGAGCTCCAAAAAATGGTAGCTGAAGATCAAGACGAAGAGGAAGAAAAAAACTCAATATTAGGACACATCCAAAACATTCAAAACATGGATATGGACACAATTAAAGAAAAGGCAACAGCTACATTCACTGAAATGAAACAAGCAGCTGAGGAGAAGTGTCTTCTGATGTGATGCCCGAGGACTAATGAATGGAACATTCTTGGTGGGCATGTCTACTGTTGATGAATTCATAGCAAGGAAATTCTACAATTTATGTTCATCCCCTTCCTTACAGACACATTTTATTCCATCCTATTCATGGTGTGCGATGACCATTTTGAAAATAATTTGTGGAACTTCAGATACATAAGAGGAAGAAATCTGCAATCTAGGGTAAAATTCTGTGGGCCCGGTGCTTAAAGAAATAAAAGGAAGGAATAGCACTCAGGGTCGTTACAAACAATGAAAAATAACGTTTATTGATGTGTCAACGTTTAAGTTTAAACATGGTGTACTTGCCAACCTCTCCAAAAATGTGTAAAGATACCCCAATAATTCCAGTGTTAAACCTTTAAACAAGAGTCCTGGACAACGACAAATTACAACTTTTGAGCAAAGGTCTATACTTTGTACCCAATCCATACATATATATATATCCATCCATCCATGGGGGTCTACTTGTACTTGCCTGAGTGCTTACTTTAGGCAAACTATATAGTCAAAGAGAATTGCAATCACAGGTCTCTGTAGGTAGTTATAGTTCCTTTATAACACAGCAAAAAATCTGTTAACGTTTCAGTCGAATGTGGGACATTGTTCAAGATTTCTTTTTGGTGTATCGTATTGCACAATAAAGGAACTAAAACAATCTACAGAGACCTGTGAGTACACTTTTTTGAATATATATGTGAGTGCGCTGGATCTTGTGTAATATATATATATATATATATATATATATATACATATATATACACACACACATACAAAAATATAATTTGCTGATTGGTAATTTAAAAAAGATAGTTTGCTAACACATTCTATTTAGTTGTTTTCATAAAGTGGAGGCTGGTGGAGTTTAAAGATGGTACCCTCTTACTTGTTGGGTACTGCCCATTTAGGAACATATGCTAAATCCTGACCCAACGTGAAATTATGTCTTATTCAGCACCATAAACATTATGATACATGTATGTGGAAAAATCAACCTCTTTATCTCCAACCCTGATGCTGTTTACCCAATGACAGCCCTGGAACACAGGACAATAGGCTGGCTAGCATCTGATGACCTTGTGCAAAACCAAAGGGTGTCACCAGAATTCATGGTAGAGCAGACAGTCTTAAAGCACGTTTAAAGAGTCTACACCCAGAGATTGTAAATAATGCTCCACATTTTTGAAATTATTAATTGTTTAGTCTCTCATCAGCATCTCCTACGAGCAATGTAAAGGGAGGAGACTTCAGAATTATTGATGGCAGACACAATATGTATTTTGTTTTCAAACACACACCAGTTATTTATTTGGGAGTGGAAGCTGCACATGCCTCTATGAACCAGCCTCCACTGCTATATTCCCCTTTAACTTTTGGTTGCAATAGGATATATTTTTATCCATTTTGCTACTGTGTGCTTGTGTCTTAATAAAATCATAATAAAATTAAATTTGACATACTCATTCTGCAACACCTTGCCTGCAGCAGTACAAAATAAGTTCTGCTGAACTGAACAATCGAATGAAAAAAAGCTTTACTGGCCTTTCAAGTTTAAGAAGGTGTGAATGTATTTGTCTCTGTTTTAACATCTGTGGAGTAATACATAGAGAGAGCCGTGGATTAATACCTACCTATTGAATGCTATTACACATCCATAACTCTGTATTTTGCATACCATTTCCTATATATATGTAATTATGTATATACTTGGGGTTTTGTTGGGGATTGACAAAGTTCCAATTTAGGACAAAACAGATAAACAGTAAGATAGCTGAGATTTCTTTTTTTTTCCACATTTGTGTATTTTGGTTTAACATTAGTAAACCTCATCTCAATTCTTTCCAATGCCAGTTTAATGAATAAACCTCAAAGTGAATAAAGGTCTTCAAATTGGTGAAAAAAAATGAAAATATAGTAAGTATGTTAAGTTAATGTCTAATTATCTGACACACTAAAAGCAAGGAACATGCTACTATTGTTTTGCCATTGCAAAGTAATGAATCTTATCCTCTGTTCCCAACATTAAAGGGACACTATACGCACCCAGACCACTTCAGCTCATTGAAGTGGTCTGTGTGCAATGTCACTGTCCCCTTTACCCTGCAATTGTGATTATTACAGTTTCTGAGAGACTGCAATAATTAAATTGCAGGGTTAAGACTGCCTTTAGTGGCTGTCAATCAGAATACCACTAGAGGCACTTCCTGGTGGTTAGGCAACTTTTGATCACCTAACTGTTTTTTATAATTTTACCCAGATACAGACATCATTTTTACATTTTGGTGGCATTTTAGAATTAAAAAATGTATTCCCTAAGATGCCATATGCAAAATATATTGCCATTTTTATTTATTTGTGTCACACCTTCACAAAAAATGCAAATATTCCTAACCATGGCTGACATTTTGCAATGTATGGGATAATACAGTATTGTTTCTAAAGCCTTTTCTCTCCACGGTATGTATGTAAAAGATGAATAGGAAAAAAAAATCCATATGTTCGAATTTACATAATTTCTGTAGTTAACCCTGAATAATAATCCATATCCAAGACTATTGTTTATTTCCACAATTATGCTTTAGCTATGTATCCAATATTTCATGTAACTGGTATGCTGTATTTTTCTCTTCAAATAAAGGAGTTAAATAAATGGTTATTTGTTATGAGGAATCACAACTATCAACGAATGCATGTGAAAAAACAGGAAGCAGACATTTTTAGAATGTGAGGTATGCGATTGCCATTCAGGAAGAGGGTATTCCTGCTGGCTAAACAACAGACCAAGGAGGTGGTCGTCCACACAGAAAAAAAAGTTATTTTTCCTGGGAATTCAACATTTTATAATAAAAGCCTGCAGGGACAAGGTCTTGTGTTGTCCCCCATCTCTGCTTAAGGAAATACTTCCATAGTTAAAGGACCACTCTAGGCACCCAGACCACTTCAGCTTAATGAAGTGGTCTGGGTGCCAGGTCCTTCTAGGGTTAACCCATTTTTTCATAATTATAGCAGTTTCAGAGAAACTGCTATAATTATGAATAGGTTAAGCCTTCCCCCTAATCCTCTAGTGGCTGTCTCATTGACAGCCACAAAGCGCGATGCTTCTCTGTGAAAATCACGGTGAGAGCACGCATAGCGTCCATAGGAAAGCATTGTAAATGCTTTCCTATGAGACCGGCTGAATGCGCGCGCAGCTCTTGCCGCGCGTGCGCATTCAGCCGGCGGGGCGGAGGCGGAGAGGAGGAGGAGAGCTCTCCGCCCAGCGCTGGAAAAAGGTAAGTTTTTACCCCTTTCCCCTTCCAGAGCCGGGCGGGAGGGGGTCCCTGAGGGTGGGGGCACCCTCAGGGCACTATAGTGCCAGGAAAACGAGTATGTTTTCCTGGCACTATAGTGGTCCTTTAACACTGCAAGGTAAGATGGTGCCAGAGGATTGCAGCCTGAGCCAAAACCACTTAATTGAGATGAAATGGTTATAGTGTTAGTTAGGAGACATGGCTGGTACAAGACTATTTTACACCATAGGCAAGACAAGCTACTCTCCCCCCCATCCCCCCTTCCAACTCTCCCCAAATAACAAAAAATGTAAATTTTCTCTCTCTTTCTTCCCCAACTCCTTTATGTTTATTTTTACCCTTCCCCAGCCCTGCTGTGTATCTTTTCCAAAACCCCTTTGTGTTTCTCTTTCTCTCCCTGCCCCTTTGTGTGTCTCTCTCCCCCAGCCTCTTTGTGTGTCTCTCTTCACCCCCAGCCCCTCTTTGTTGACCCCCAGCCCTCCATGTGTCTCTTTGTCCCCCTCTCTTTGTGTGCAGCTCTTCCTTCCCACCAACACTCTGTATGCCTCACCTCCTCCCACAGCCCTTTGTGTGCCTCTCCTCCCCATCCCTCTGTGTGCCTCTCCTCACCCCCGTTTAGCCTTCTGTGTGCCCTGTCCGCTGTATGCCACTCCTCAGCCCTCTGTGTTCCTCTCCTTCCCCCCAGCCCTCTGTGTCCTCTAGCCCCTCTGTGCATTTTTTTGCTCCCTCACCCTTTTGCCTCTCCTCCCCATCCCTCTGTGTGCCTCTCCTCACCCCCGTTTAGCCTTCTGTGTGCCTTCTGTGTGCCCTGTCCGCTGTATGCCACTCCTCAGCCCTCTGTGTTCCTCTCCTCACCCCCAGCCCTCTGTGTGTCTTTGTCCTCTAGCCCCTCTGTGCATTTCTTTGCTCCCTCACCCTTTTGTGTACCTCTCCCTCCCCCTCAGCATTCTGCGTGCCTCTCGCCCCCAGCCCCCTGTGTGCCACAACTCACCCCCAGCCCTCTGTGTGCCTCTCCTGTGTGTGCCTCTCCTTACTCCCCTCAGGCCTCTGGGTGGCTCTCCTCTGCCTCCTTCCCCTTTGTGGTCCCATCCCCCCCTCCCCCCATGTACCTGCTACCCTTACCACTCCATATAGCAAGGACAGACTGCAGACCACAGTACAGGAGCATCTCTATCCGGTCTGACAGGAAGCTGTTCTGTGCTCTCTGTGAGAACCTCCTGTCACAGCCGGTAGGGGAAAGAGAAGCTCCTGTACCTGGTCCATGGCTCAGCCACGCTACATGCTGTGACTGGCAGGAGGGAAGCACTGTGCAGTGCGCTCCCCTCCTGCCAGTCACCTAGGCATTGTGCCCTGGGTCAGTACACCCTAGACGGCTGCTTAATCTGTTTGCGGTCGTGCCTGTCTTGCTTAGAGAATCACGGTTTGTACTCGTTGTGTATGTTACTAACATGGCTTTTTCCCAAAGTAAAAAAAAAAAAAAAAAGGTTAAAGATGTGTGAAATCCAAAACATTCTAGCCAGTGGCATAGAGGGAGTGGGGGGCGAGCGGTCCACCCTGTTTGTCACCCATTAAGGGGGTGCCCGGAGCCCGTGGGGGCATCATCTCTGGGTGACCAGCAGAAGGGGAGTACATTGCACAGTTCTGCCCTCCTGCCGGTCATTGAATGTAGCATGGTCTAGCAAGCAGACCGTGGTAGAGGAGCCTCTGTTTCCTCTACCCTGTCTGATACCAAGTGCTCTCTGAGAGCAACTAATTGCTTGCTGTGAGAGCGGGTACAGGAAACAGAGGCTCCTCTGCCACAGACCACTTGCTTGACCATGCTACATGCACAGAGGTGAGGCTGAGCAGGCACAGGAGAGGTTGACAGACAAAACAAAGGCACAGGAGGGGAGGGGGACAAAAGAAGCACACAGAAGGGGAGGATGGCTAAAGAGGGCACAAGAGGGGAGGGGACAATAGAAGGGAAAGGGGAGGGGGACAAAATAAGGGCACAGAGGTGGAGGGTGGCTAAGGCGGGCACAGGTGAAAGAGGACAAAAGGAGGGCACAGAAGGGGAGGGGCTAAAGAGGGCACACAAGGGGAGGGGACAAAAGAAGTGCACAGGAGGGGGGGCAAAATAATTGTACAGGAGGGGTGTGTGTATCTTTTTTCCTCATCAGCTCCTCTGTATGTCTCTTTGTCCCGCCTCAGCAATCTCTGTATGTCTCTTTCCCCCAACCCCTCTTTCTCTTTGTGCCCCCTCTTCCTGTGCCCTTCTTTTGCCTCTCTTCCCTTCCTGTGCCCTTCTTTTGCCCCCCTCCTGCGCAGTGCCCTTTTGCCCTCTCCCCACCTTTGCCATTTTTTTCCCTCCCACCCGTGCCTGCTCAGCTTCACCTCGTTCCATGTAGCGCGGTCAAGCAGGTGGTCCATGGCAGAAAAGCCTCTGTTTCCTGTACCCGCTGTGACAGGAAGCTGTTAGATGCTCTCACGGAGACCACTTCCTGTCAGACCGGGTAGAGGAAGCTCCTCTATCGTGGTCCGCCTGCTCAGCCATGCTATATGCAGTGACAGGCAGGAGGAGAGCGCTGTGTCAGGATGTAGCTCTCCTAACAGTCACCCAGAACCCAGAAATCGAGCCTCCTGGGCCACAGTACCCCTCAATCTTCCTCTAAGTGACAACCCTTTAATGAGTGGCACCAATGAGACCCACAACTATTTATGCCACTGATGCAATGCACAATATCTGGCGCTTCCAGAAAATGAATTACACTTTCTGCAGATGTTGCAGATGGATGCAGTCCAGATATAAACTTTCTATTCATGTTCTAGCTCTTGCAAGTTGACTTTTTGAAATTCAAAGCACTGCACAACCAGGTCCTCAACTACTTGAAGGAACTCCTGGTCACTTAGACTTCCAAATGCTCCCTTATATCAACAAATTCACTATAACAGAGGGTTCCAAGAGTTTGTTTAAACTCTTTGAAGGAATACTGTTTAAAGGTACACTGTAGGCTCTGTAACTGCTTCATCTCATTGAACGTGCTTCAGTGTCTGGAGTCCTCGGTGCTGTTCGCACATTCAGCAGTAAACCATGTTTAATGTTTTAATGCTAAACAAGAGTCCTCAAGAGCTAATTTCCACTGTGCTGCTTGGGCTAGTGATTAAAGGGACAGCTTACAGCTTAATGTAGTTTTTGTGGTGAGTATTGTCAATCCATGCAGGCTTTTACACTGCCTTTTAAATTACAGCCTAGGAACAGCTCAGACGGCCAGTAGAGATGCTCCCTGGGGCAGTACTGCATGGAGAAGCTGAACTTTCCTGATAGAGATGCATTGATTCAATGCATATCTATGAGGAGATGGTGATTGGTCAGGGCAGTGTTTGGCTCTGCCCCATCCCGCCTCCTTGGCTGAGAGCATCAGAATTGACAATCTCATCAAATCCAATGCTTTCCTGTGGGAAAGCACTGTGATTGGCTGAGATCATCACTTCTATTGATGTCAGCCAAGGAGGCTGATCATGGGTGGAGCCAGTGCCGGCAGACCCGCGTGGCACTGGAAATAAGGTGAGTTTTTACTATGTTTAAGAGGGGGCAAGGGAGAGCAGTGGGGTTAGTGTTAACACTATAGGGTCATGAATACACATTTTTGTTCCTGACCCTATAGTGTTCCTTTAAGAATTAGCATGAGCAGCAGCAATAACAGTTGTGATTGGAGAGTTCCAGCTGACTCCTGTCAGCCTATCACAGTACCCATTGCTGGTATGAAATCTTATGACTAGAAGGAAGTGTGTAATCTCTGCCTCAGTCATAACTCAAGCAGAGGCTGGGCTGTGGATGGCCGGCAACCCTTATTTAGTCGGGCCGCCATCAGAAATTCGGGGCCCCCTAACACAGCTCAAGACCTGGGCCCCCAGTGACCCTTCTCCAAGTCTGCCCAAAGGACCTGCCTTGAAATCCACCCACAGGGCCTGCCTCCAAGCTCCCCCACAAGGATGCAGTGTGTGTAGTGTGGATACAGGGTGTGTGTGTGTTGTGGATGCAGTGTATGTAAAGTGGACATGGTGACTAAATTTGTGATTATTCTAAAAGGAAAATCTCTGTAAAAAGAAGCAAAATTTACTCTAAACAAAATGAACACATTTTAGATTACTTTTGAAACACTTAACTAAATGCGATCAAAATAATGATGGAACATAATTGCATGATTTTGCTATTACATGACGAAAAGTCATGATTTTATTAAAGACACTGAGGCGAGTATTGCATATCCCTTTCTTTACTGTCCACCAATAGCAGCAAAGTATACAAACAGAATGAAAAAACAATGAACATACAGTAGCATAGGTCCCTCCCTGCACAGGTCCCAGTATAATAGGCAGCACTTCCCTTCCATTTCCCTCTTTCTGAAGATTCGACACTATACACAAAGTCCATAACAGGAACAGCAATATAGTCCAAA